GCTAGTATGGACATTCAGCTGACTCAAACAAACACCAAAATAGCAACAGCTTCTGTCTCGGATAAACGTGCCTTCCCAGCAGCCTCCTTTCTGCAGCAAGACATTTCTATTACATTTTCCTAAAAGGGAATCATGTTTGCATTGAAATGACAGTCCTGCTGGCACTGCAGGAAGCACCAGACCCCTGCAACTTTCTAATCTCTGGTTTCCACACTTGGAAATGTTGTCTCGGTGTTTCAGAAAAAAAACCTGTGTCTGGCAATGAGACTGAACTCTGAACGCTTGCAAGTCACCTGTTTGGAGTTTGCATTATGAATTCTCATAGAAACAAGTGTAAGTGGGCTTTTGAAATTCCTAAAGCAGTCCAGTTAATCAGATTGCTCTCAAAGTACTTCATTGTGTGCACTGTGGAAATGTGAAAACTTGGGTATCATTGTCATTTTAAAAACGTTTCCTTTCAGCATCTAATGGAATGTGGTCATAATCTCAGGGCCAGATATTCCTGTCCTTTGTGGTTTCACAGGCATGTGAGCCTCTAGAAATGCCATCTCCCAGGATCTGGTGCAGAGTGAACCACAGGGAAGGCCACTGGGTCTGGTAAGGAACATGGTCGCAATGCCCCCCACAGAATTGGCCTCTCCAAGGAGCTCTCAGTCCCTCCTCTCTGTAGAGTGTATCCTACAAGGATCCTCAAAATGCACACTGCTTACCTAAGGCTCAAGGGTATCTGTCTCCTGGTTTGCTTTATTTTTTCAGTTCTCCATACACTGGGGAAATGAGCAGCTTTTAAGTAGAACTGAGGACAATGGTCCTTTACTTTTGGGAGTGAGAGGAAGAGGATGGGAGCCACATCTTCCAGTGTAAAAGCAGACAGAGTCCACAGGGTTTATAGTTGCTCTCAAAATGGAGATAGGCACTGGAGTACAGGATACTGCAACTTTACTAGTTTTTTTTAATGAAGACATGTTTGTAGCACATAATGATTACATTCATCATGAGAAGTTGGTAATTGTATATAATATATCTGAATTCTTTCTCTACCCCCTCCCCACTCCATCTCTTTGTCCCCTTCTCTTTTGCAAAAGACCTATCTCACTATTTTCTATTATCTCTTTTTTAGCAAGTTAGTTTTTCTGAGTTTGTGGAAAAGATTAAATGATATAATGTATCTGAAGCACTTAGTACAATGCCAGACTTTGTTAGCTTTCTATGACTATAACAAAACATCTGAGATAATTGTGTGTGTGTGTGTGTGTGTGTGTGTGTGTGTGTGAGACTGGGGATTGAATCCAGGGACTTTGCACTGAGGTATATCTCTAGTTCTTTTTTTTTTACTTTTTATTTTGAGACAGAGTCTTGCTAAGTTGTCAAATTTCCCAGGCTGGGCTTGAACTTGCAGTTCTCCTGCCTCAGCCTCCCAGAGTGCTGGGATAACTGGCATGTGCCACAATGCCCAGCTGCTTATAAAAAAAAAGAGGTTTAATTAGCCACGACATTTAGACAAGAGAAAGAAATAAAAGGAATAAAGATACAAAATGAAGAAGTCAAATTGTCATTATTTGCAGATGACATAATACTCTATATAGAAGACCCCAAGCACTCCACCAAAAGTCTTCTAGACTTAATAACCCAATTGAGTAGAGTAGCTGGATACAAGGTCAACACATGAAAATCAATACCTTTCCTCTACACAAACAAAAGATTCACTGAGAGAGTAATAGGGCAAACAATTCCTTTCACAATAGCATCCAAAAAACTGAAATACCTAGGAATCAACCTAACAAAAGAAATCAAAGAC